TAAAATCAGCTTGAACTATGCTAAAATTATACCACGTTTCCCGAATGTTGCTTTTGTAATGTATATTTTTTATGGAAACAACCTCTAAACCCCATCTTGTTTTCCAGGTCGGGTTTAACATGTTTGGCATATTGTCGCGGCCTCACAAAACATCCCACCAAAACTTTGAGATACAACAGTTCAAAGCAACATCTGGACAGATAAATCTACAGTGCAACAGGAGCTGGTTTTTAATGACAGCAGATGGCTGACGGGATTAGGAAACACTCACACACACACACAGATGTGTGCGCACAAGAGACACACGAGCACAAGAAATGATGAAAGCAAGAGGAAAAAAGCACTGCAGAAGGCTGACAGTGCTTGAACAGCTCTGTGGCTCTTTCCCAAATAGATTAACGATATAAATAGAGAGTGAAAGTTAAATCCAATTAGTTATATTACATATATATATTTTTTTATATTAGACTTTAATCTTTAGAACAGCTACGGTTTATAATTTCAACATTCAATCAAACCTTTTATCTGCAAAAAAAAACACTCGCTGGGAAGACCGACATCCAGATGCTATGTATGTTCCCCAGAAACATATATTCATTTTTCAAGAATAAATGTAATGTAGAATATCAAACTCATTTACATGTACAAAAATATGTTTGTGACCAAAGTTTAGTCTGAGACAGAAATCTGTTTTGGAGCTCCACTGAGTTACTTCCTGACACACAGCTTTGATTAAACTTTCACTAATTAAAGCCTTCCTCATCTTATTAGCTCGACTAATTGATTTAATTTGTTTCAGCTCAACTATTGGCTGTGACCTCTACTTAGTTAATGAATTAATTGATTTAGCCCAAGTACATCTGAAGGAGTGAAAGAGCATTTTGACTCGTTGACTGTTTAATCTTGCTCACCCTAGAAAACTAATTGGGCTATGATGGCAGGAAAAAAAATTAAAACTTGACAAGGAAGAACATAATTTATATTTTAAACCTTAAAGTAGTGTTTTTAATGGGGGGGGGGTCTTGCAAGAGGAGAAATATAGCAAACTTTTCTGGCCACAGTGCGTGATTATAGCCCGTAGATGTCTTTTATAAGGTCTAAATCAAGCCTAAATCACCAGTGCCTGCTTTATTGACATCGTTTTTCTCAGTAATGGCAGCAGACAAAAAGAGCTTCTTCAGCTTGGAAGCGGTTATTACCCAGATGCAGGGTGAGGATGCTGCGTTCATATCTTGGCACCATTTAGGGCCATTTGCAGCAGTAATGGTGCTGAATGTATTAATATTTCAAAATGAGTAATAATTTAGAAGCTGGAGTTTGTTCAAAGGTCCCTACAAGGCTTGAGTCCATGCTGCTGGATGAGCTACTCTTCACTGGATTAAAAAGTGCTGCTGAAGGTAGCTAAACTTGAACAAATAGCTCCCTCTAGTGGCGAATAAAGCAAATTTTCACTCTCGATCACGTCTAAGAGGGACACAGAAGAACAGCTTTCATCATGAAAAACACAGTTGAGAAATGTCAATAAAAAACAATGCTTTAGGTACATATTCTTAAAAGATTTTTATAGAAAGTATTACAAAAAGTGTAACATGACCTTGTCCTCCAAAAAGCATTCAGTAACTCTTAAACTACTAAAGTTTAAAAAAAATAACTTTAGATGGTGTATTTAAAACATTTCAGCTGCGGATGCATTTCTAATCAAGTTCAACTACATAGATTTTCAGATCAAATACAAACTGTTTAAAAATGCTCTGCTTCAAGATTACCACCATAAAGCTACTTTTTTGTCCTATTTGTTTGACCCTATACCATGAAATAACCTTTTATCCAGATGTCTTAAGCTACCTGAGAATGAGTTCACTGTATGCCAATAGCCTCCATAGTGACCAGATCTCAGAGAGGCTTTGGGATGTGGTGGAGCAGGTGATTTTCTTCATGGATGTGAACCAAAACCCTACAACACTTGTGTGATGCTCCTATTTGAGTATGGGGCCAAAGCCAGACTATGACCTGGAGAGATTTGTATTAGTATATAGTTTTGTTTTCAAATAATGGAACAGTAACTGGTATGTAAAATATCCTTTTACAAGCTTAAAAATATAAAAAATTGTTTGCAAAATACTTTCCTATGCAACATAATATGCGCAAAGGTAAGATACAATACCAAACGTCACAACAAAATACAATACTGTGCTATGTTATTGTCAAGACATGTCTGCAGTATATTTACTACGTGTTTTTCATGCAAACACACATCCTCCTTTAAACAAAATCCAAAGTACAGATTGTAAGATTAGCAGACAATAAAATTTCAAGGTGGTTAATGTTTCATTTCAAGACTGATGGATGTATGAAAGTATTCACTTTATCCTTATAAAACTGTGAGCCCTCTATTTTCTTCTATAATTCAACCCAGACAACTGTAACTGTGTGTAGTCCCTTTTTTAATTACTGTGCAATTTAAGAAAATCTGAGTCTGTTCATTTGTGTGTTTAATACATGAAATGTCAGGAGCAAACTGCAACTCCTGGACTTGAGTTGGGTAAAAACACATGATGAATACCCAGTTTTAATAAATACAGCCATTGAGATTGAATGATCTGAGCTGACTCAAATTTTCATGGAACAAATTACATTAATGAAGCAAACATGGATTAATGTATCCAGCCTCAGTGACACCTTTATGTGTGTTTGATTAAACATTCTCAGGTTTGTTTTTCTCATTTTGCATAATACACCTTTAAATTCTCGCCAATGTGACCCAGCACACTATTAACAACCATAATAAACTTTTTTTTTAGTGTGTGCATTTACTTTGACTTATGGTCACCTGCTGCCATCTGGCTTGCTGACAGCCAGCGGAGATGTAATCCTTCTTCGAGCTCATAAATCGGTCCAGTGGAGGTTACGTGATCTACAGAGTGAAGCACACTCACAGTATGAGGACGTGCACAAGTCCACACACTGTGCAACCTTGTGTCGGCTTTACAGAAACACAAATTCAGATCCACACATGCCCTTTGCAATGTCTTTTTCTTTGCAAATGGCTGCCAGGATAGTCACAAGACTCCACTTTACTAGCTCGCTTAAATCAATGCAGAGCTGCAATGAATCCTTTTATTGAATTAGGGCGTTTTATTTTGCCACCCCTGTTTATTTTCAGTTGAAGCAGATTAAAAAGGAAGGAGACACTATCTAATGTAACATAGTTAAACACTACTTGATACACCACTTTTGAAATGTCCATCCATCAGTGTATGTTTACCACTTTGGATGATGTTTTACAACATATGAAGTCTGAAGAAATGGAGTAATATAATCTTCACGATATGCGACCCCCTATCTTTACAAGGAACTAGTACGTATTTGCTTTTCTCAAACCTCAAGACGTATACATGTGTAAGAATAATCAGACGTTTAATGACTCACTTTCGGTGTGCACTTTTGAAATTCTTGATCCTTCTGCTGAAGCTCCTGATTGCATTTATGTTTTCAGATGTAGGAAAATATGTAAGAATGGTAAGAAATAGTGAAGAAGTGCTTAGACCTTCTATGAAAAACTAACATGCAAGTTCAACATCTCCATAGACTGAAAAGATGCTGATTCAAAATGACATGGCCACTCCAAGCTTGACACCCTGAAGCTCAATTGAAATGTACACTTTCAAACCAACCAATTAAAATGTTTCTAACTTGTTAATCTTCCCTTTTTATGTATTTGGGGCACTGCATAACAAAATGGGTCAAGGCAGCAGCACCCCTGTGACCTTGCATTGAGAAATAAGTCTAGACAATGGATAGATGTCTGAAGACATAAGGCTTACAATGTTTTTGCTAAGACTGAGAGAGCAAAGAGGAAGCAAAATTTCTTGATAAAAAAAAAACAATCAAATGAAAAGCCTTTTCCTGCAAACTTTATCCCTGTAGAAAATTCTCATGAATTTGACATGTATTTCCATTTCCCACATGTAGCTCATAATTCCAACATGTTATCAAGTATTTTTGTTCATGTGTTGTATATGTGGTAAACTTGTGGTCACAAGAGAACCACATGCACACCACATGTGATCTGATCTTTTCCATGTGCAGATCATGTGCTTGTGCTCAGTGTCATACCCTTATCATGTGTTCATGTAAAAGTATGTGGAGCATCTAATACCACTTAAACTGCAAACCCAGGCAATAATAGTATATTTGAATGCTCTATTTTATCTATTCTGTGCTAAAGCTGTCTTCTAACACCTCCACCATGGTGCAATGCAAACCAAGACAAAGTGTGTTTCACTCTGTCTCACCATCATAGATCGTCATACATTATACCGATACACATTATGCAAATATCTTAAATTTTTAAAACATTCAATTGTAGGACAGGAACAGAAGTACGAAGTTTGAAAAGAATGGACTGATACCAATTTGTGGCTCAGGTGTCTCAAATGATATACATATGATATACATCTAAACATGTAATAAACAAATGTACACCTTGAGTGTACCATGTAATACACATATTTGATCCCTATAAATGTCAGATGTGGATTTCACTATGACTGGGCCAAGATTTCCCCTCAATTTGGTTGTGTTGTCTTAGGCTGCAGTACTGTAATAAAGTTTTACTGTTCAACCAAGTCTATAGCATGTAGAGTCTAATTCCTTCAACATCACCACATCAGATAGATAGATAGATAGATAGATAGATAGATAGATAGATAGATAGATAGATAGATAGATAGATAGATAGATAGATAGATAGATAGATAGATAGATAGATAGATAGATAGATAGATAGATAGATAGATAGATAGATAGATAGATAGATAGATAGATAGATAGATAGATAGATAGATAGATAGATAGATAGATAGATAGATAGATAGATAGATAGATAGATAGATAGATAGATAGATAGATAGATAGATAGATAGATAGAGTTCATGTTCATGGATGAACACTGTCCCTTTAATTCTGACGCTGACGTCACTACACGATGACTCGTTTATTTTGCGACCGCACCGGCTCAAATTCAGTCTGGCTAAAGCTACATCCATAGACAGAAAAATATAAATCATAGTGTGAAAAATACCAGAAGGGATTCTGTTTGGGGGGGAATCTTCTGCTCAACGCTTCAAAATGTGATCCAGCCACCAGACGCCTCGGAAAACAGCAGCCCTAGTTTGCTTTGAATCAACGGTCTGTTTCATGTATGATCCTGCAGGCATTCTTGCATTTTCTGCATGTTGCTCTGTGTCGTCGCTGCGATTTACTTGAATATGCGTCAAAGTAATTCGTAGATGTCTTATCCCACCTGAGAATGCATCGTTTGCATAAGTCTGCATTTTGTAGAGCGTTTCTAACACGTTTTGCATTTACAAAAGCATTTACAGGTTCCAGTAATATAAACTGACTGTGGTTGTTTTTGCTTTTCTTCTTGCAGAGTTTTGTTGCATACTAAAGAGGGAATCTGGAAATTCCACTGGTATTCCTGAGCTCCTTCACTAAAGCCGGTCTGGGGGCTGGAAGCAGGTCCCACTGTGCATCCCCACTTGTCACTCCTGTGCACCACACTGGGCTCTGGTAGCCCCTCCATGCCTATGATCCCCATCCCACGCAGGGTGCGCAGCTTCCATGGCCCCCACACCACCTGCATGCACTCTGCCTGCGGCTCGGCGCACACCACCAAGCTGGTGCGCACCAAGTACAACAACTTTGACCTTTACCTGCGCTCCCGGTGCATGTACAGCTTCCTGCGCTTCTTGCTGTACTTTGGCTGCAGCCTGCTGACCTCTCTTCTTTGGGTGCTCCTCTCTGCCCTCTTCTTCCTGCAGTACGTCAGTGTGCGCGTCCTCCTTCGGCTGCAGTACAAGCTTTCCGTCATCCTACTTCTGCTCGGACACCGGCGCCTGGACTTTGGAGTGCTCAACGATCTGATCATCTACAGCATGCACATCACCATGTTTCTGGTGGGGGGACTTGGCTGGTGCTTTATGGTGTTTGTGGACATGTAGCTGAACTGCTGACAATGTTGAAAAGACTGAAAGGGTGCAATGAGCAGGCATCAACCGGCAACTTGAGCATCATGTGGCACTAGACGGGAAAGTACCTGTGAAATCTTTTGCAACTGTTGCTCAGCGCTCTAAGATTTGTCATCCTTAAAAAAAGAAATTTTATCTTGCTAGATTTCTTATCCATTCAACGCCAAGTCACATCACTATTTCATCTTTATAAACAAACCATTAGGTTTCTGTGTAGTTGATCATTGCCATTGCTTGTTAAATATTTAAAAAATTGTGGAAATAAATTACCATAAAAATTTTGAAATAACACATAGAAGCTTCTTTAAAAAAAATCAGATTCCGTCTTGTTCCTATTGATTGTGGTTGACTCATACACTAATATTGACTCATCTAAATAATAAATTATAGAAGTTGATTAAACCAACTACAGTTTTGACATGTTATATGATGGTCAAGAAACCTCATTTGCTTATAGACAATTACTTTAAACCTTCAGTTGTCGAGGCCAATAAAAATGGAAACATTTTCACTAAAATGTAAGACGACTGAGAAAACAAGTACGAAACACGGCAGGGGAGCACACTGCTCCTCCATCCACCTGACCGGCAGTAGTTCAAAAATTCTTTAGCTTCTGACCCACAAAATAACAATGAAGGAAACAAGTCTTGATTGAGTTTATACTTTTTAATCAAATTCAATTAAACAGAGATAAAATAAAAATTGGATAACAGCTTATATAATTTCAAAGAAATTGCCTCTACTCACTAATAAGAGCATTTTTTAATACATATGTTTCACCATAATACTTGTATAGTAAAATTTCTGAAGAGGATCCCATTCTGCCACTCAAGTTGATTTGTGACTTCAAATGAAATTCCATTTTAAAAATGTACTGATCATCTGTTAACCAAAGTCTACTTTGTTTCTTTTCAGTTCCAAACTAAAATCACTTTATTGTCTGCTCACATTAAGATACAGACTAACTAATTTGACATACTGTTTAAACAAAGACATTTGTTGGGTTATTGTTTAATGGATGGAGGCCTTCATATGCAGTTGTTTGAAACCATATACATTCAATTTGGAAAAACAAAACACTCAGACTTACTAGAAGGGGACCAGCAACTTGTATTTCATCCATTTGTAAACCATTTTGTCAAAATAACTGTTTGTTTTATAAAGCTATGACTTACTATAACAAAAAATGTGAATGTCACAGTTGCATGAAATACTGACGTACGACTGTATGACGCAATTTTGTCTTTTGTTTCAACATATCCTGAGGTTTGCTCTAAAAGCCACAGATAAGTTTGACTATATTAGGCCATGTGCAAACATTATCTTTTAAATATACATCTATATTCCAGATTAAGCAAATGTGCAGTTACATGTCAACCCATGGAAGCGAAAAAGGAGCAGTGATGTGTGATTTTGTGGTTAGTGTGACCAAATGTAAATGGATTTAACGTGTTTTTTTTTAAACAATTATTTAATAAATATTCTTGTCTGTTGCATTGTTATTTAAAATGCAAAGCCTAGGGAATGTGTTTACCATGCAGTCCTGCACTCTTGATATCATGCCTCGAGCTGTGTCACAAGAGTGTGTGACAGTTCATCTTGAAAACGCCTCTGGGTCAAGTGTTCCATCAGTCGCTCTTCACATGGTCTCAGAGTCGCTCTGACAGACTTCTCTGTTTAGCTTCCTCTGGCACACAACCACAACTGGACCTCTCTGTTTCTGCCAAGCATAACAATGGACATGGCTGGCTCCCAACAGCCTTATATAGCCTCATTTACACTTGGCATAAAGGAAGCTAACGGGAACTGCTGAGACCTCTGGCTGAGCTGAAATATGCATTTAAGTACTTTATTCTAAGGAACTGAACATTTGATTTAATATAGAATTTGGTTTTAGTTTCCTCATTAAATTATGCAAAAAAATAAAAAAAAAAAAACAGTCTGGAAATAGTTTAAATGCCAGCTTTAGATCTGAACTTTTGACACTAGCTGGTGGGCTGACTGAGACATGCTTGAGACCCATTTGGCCTCTGGCTGTAAATGGATAATCGGGGCAACAATAAGCTTTTGTGCACAGGATAAACACATCATATGCCTCATTCTGAGTCTGGGCCGATCTAACTGCTCGCATGAGCCACAAAGAAGTAGTTCTGACAAGTCATCACCCCTTTTCATTTCTTCTTTTTTGCTTTAAAAGCTGGAAGTTGTTTGCTTAGTCTGAGAGACTCGCCAGACTTAATTAATCACTTGTTGCGTTTGTTTCTGGAAGCACCATGAACCTCTCACCTTGTTTACCATATTTTCCATCAACATTTTGTAACAGTTTTTACAAATACAAGTTAGGTGGAAACCACATAGGATCATAAAAAATGTAAATAATAATCTTTTGTGGGTAAAAAAAAAACAACCTCAATCTATAACTCACTTTAAAATGGCAGTAATTGGAGACTAAGAGTATGTGTCATTCAGTTTTACAAGAAAAAATTGAAACATTTTTAGAAATATTTTCTTGCCAGACTAGTGCAGTCACTGAAATACAGCAAACAGGCTTGTAGAGCTATTACGCCTGATTTCCTCAGAGGCAAATGTTATGTTTTAGCAGCCCTACCTAAAACATAAAACGTTTATTTATTTAAAGAAAGAGACTAACGACTTACGGGTGACAAAATCACTGGGCTGGGGGTTATGTGCTACTCTCCTGGTGAACCCTGGGAAGCATCTGTTCCAGATGTTATCAGCTCACATAAAAAAATTTAAAAAAAGAAAGAAAGAAACAACGGCCAAGTTTCTCATATTTCCCCAAGCTTACTTTTACTTTGCTCGGTAAGTAAACTGTAAGAAAACATCACTAACTATTATGACATGTCAAAATAACATTTTTGACATTTTTCAATGCCATAACATTTCATCTGTGTTAAAAAAAACATTTAGTGCTAATTGGAAAGAAAAGTAAACTTTCTTTTTAAAAAAAATAGCAAAGGAATACAAGTTGAACAAACAACAAATTATAAAGATGACACATTTAGCTGCTGTTCAGTATAAATAATATTTGGACATCATAATCTTCTGCATGACCACCCTTCTTACTGTGGTGGGTGGTAAAATAAATATAGGTCATTGTCCAGTCTAAACGCCAGTGGGTAAAGGAAATGGACCTCCATGTCACATCATGTTTATACCCTAGAGAGTTAAAATCTCATGGATCACTAGTTAGAAGGTCCATGACATTCTGTTTACATATACAATTGCAGACCTGCATACCTTTACCTATATCTGTTAATTCATATGTTCATAGATACATGCTGGGATATACAGACATATCCTGGGAGGGTCTCTCAACTCCACAATCCTAATCACTAAAAAGTGAAATAAGAGTATTGACTGTGACTGTATTCAATTAGGCCCAAAGTTATTTATGCTGCTGGTAGATGTAAGTTCAAACTAATCTTTTAGTATTACCAACATGAAGTAAGATGAAATGTTCATCCTGTTTTCTTATTCTCAAACATAGTATGATTTTTATCTGTGAAATATGCTACATAAATACACTTTACTTATTTATGTTATTGTTTCAAAATAGTCTGAACCTGCAACAGACTGGCGACCTGTCCAGGGTGTACCCCGCTCTCGCCCGGAACGTTAGCTGGAGATAGGCACCAGTAAGAGTTTTAATAAAAACTGATGTTTTTTTTTTTTTGTTTTGTTTTGTTTTTTTTAATGTATGTAAGTAAAGTTCATCTGAAAAGTGCTTTTCACAGACGTAAGATCACAAAGCGCTGTGCAATAAAAATCTACCTTACAAACCATACAAAACACATAACCAGCAGAAGAAACACGACAAAATCAAGAGATAAAAGCCTGGGAAAATAAAAATGTTTTGATGTTTTTGATGTTTTCTGTCTCATTTCCCATTTGAAACAATCTTCTTGGTTAAATGAAAATCATTTTAGTCTTTAATCGGTTTTGGGCTATTCTGTAAAAATCCTACATACAGGCAGACATACTAGATAAATAATGCACATATGAATATGTATGTTTAAGGCTCATGTATTTATTTATTACATAAATATGTAATAAATTCGTTGAATACATACATACATACATACATACATACATACATACATACATACATACATACATACATACATACATACATACATACATACATACATACATACATACATACATACATACATGAAACACTGTTGACTTGAGGTCACTCCGCCAGCAGTTGGCGCCTGTAATTTAGGAGAACAACACACATGCGCATCATGTGTCCTGGGCTGTCTTCATGCAGTGACACGTGAGATACCCACACATGTAAATGTAATTCAGGATCTCCTTCGTACTCAGGCGTCCTATTTACAACGCTTTTGTGCTTCAGTGCGGCACCAAACACAGCGAGAACAAACTTAGACGTCCTTTAGAGCTCTCTAACTATTAAACAGTGAAGAAGAGTACACCTTTAAACCCCTAGAGTGCACGAGATCGTGTATTTAAAAAAAAAATATATATATGTGTATATATATAAAAAAAACAGAAAAGAAAGAGGCGCATGACATGACAGTTAATGTACCGCGCGTACGGTAAAGTGAGCGACCGACTATGTCTGCGTCTTTAAGCAGAAGTCTGTACGGACTGCTGCATGATGTCAGCCTGCTCTCGGTCCGTGCGCTGCTCGTGTGAGAGCCGCATTTTACTTCCTGCACAGGGACAGGAGCGGGCAGAGAAAGAGAGAGTGGGATAGCGAGATGGGGGTACGAGCGGCCGAGACAGGACTAAAAGTGATAGAGTGAGCCAGCGGACGAGACGAAGGAAGAAGCCCGGGGCCTGCTTTTGTCTCCTCTCCCCCTTTTTTTTTTTTTCCTTTTTTTTCTTTTTTTTTTTTTTCTCTTTTAATAGAAGAAGAAGAGAAACGAATCCTACAAAGTTTAGAGGTTATCCAGCCTGCCCACATCTGCGCCAGCTGACAGCCTCAGTCTATGGAATAGCGACATATCGGGTAAATATATCCCTCTCCCACAACCCTCCTCTCTCGGCGTGATATACAGTGCCTGATTTGTGTGACGCATAGGTTTTTTTTTTTTTACCATGCATTACTGTCTCGATTCTCTCCCTTTATTTCTCACTCGGCGAGTGAGAAATAAAGCGACACTCCAGGCGCTACGCTGAAATCATCTGCAGATTCGCTGCTCATCCTTAAATAAAAGTTAACACTCCACAACTTTAATAAGAAGTAATGGGAGCTTTTACGTGGAGGAGCCTCCTCCCCCTCTACTTGAATGCGTAAAGCGCGACTGTCGAAGAATTTTTTTTTTTCCTTTTTTTTTCTGAAACTCGTGAAAATCCGGTGTTGATGTTGGTCAGCGCTTTGACCTCAGGAAGTAGTGTTGTCATTAGTGTCAACTGTACAAATGGCATGATGCTGCGATGGGGCTTACGTCATGATTTGGCCCACAAATAAATATATAAATCAATCAGTCACCAGCCAGGACTGTAAGGCAATAAGTTGCGAAGTGGCATGTTGCAGGTATGGGGGTACAAAGAGGGAGGTGTGTATGTGTGTGTGTGGGTGGGGGGGTTGTCAACTGTGTTCTTATCTCAATACATTAAATAGGAAACTTGTTTAAAAAAAAAAATTAAAAAAATCATGTAAAGCAATCACATAATAGAGCAAAAATAACCAATCTTACATAGGATTGTGTAGTAAACATAAAAATAAACCCAGATATGTTGGTTTTAACTGTAAATTATTCAGAGGCAAGTCTGATTTGTGGTGCAGTTTACCTCACCTGAACTTTGTCATCAGACCATACATCCATACACCCATACACACACACACCCACACTCCCCCCCCCCCCCCACACACACACACACACACACTTACACACTTTTTCTTTTTATTGTGTGTACAGCAGTGCAATGTGTGGCTAGCCAGCAAGTAGTTTGTGGCAGTTTTTCTTCATTTCCTGTTAGTGTTCTTTCCTCAGCAAACACTTTCTCTCTATCACCATGTTGTCATTGATGTTGTCTAAACGGTTGCATTTTGTGTATACCCAGAGGTTGTTTGGATCCTAATCTTATAAATCTGAGCCTTGCAATTTTATAATATTGTTGAAAAAGTGTTTTTAATTATTTTTTTAGCATCCTGGTCCCAAATCCCGTTTCAGTTGTGTCTTCAAAAAACTGGCTTTTCTTTTCTCCGGAGTTAAAAAATCACATTGAATAGGAGGTTTTTTATTTACTTGTAAGAGAACTTTAAAATCAATATATATGTATAGGTGCACCTAGGTACCTTGAGGCAAGACAAACACAGGTTTGTTTTTCCTTCACGCCGTTTTTCTCATACCCACGCTCAAATACGAGGAAATCATTTCTGGGGATGTAGGCGTGTGCTGCAAAGTTTTGTTTTTCTCTCATCCGAGTTTATCACCACATACGTGGAAAATGTGGGAATTTATTGTTCTCCTGAACGGACTCCTTCCAGCAGTCAACCAGCATTGAATTGGAAGACTGCCAT